TAAACATTTCAACTTTCCGACGCCAGCGCAGAGTTTTGCCCTGATCGCCGGGACCGCGTGAGTGTGCGGCGCCGAGGCCATGCGGTGAGCGAGGTAAGAGCGGGGCTGGCACCGGCACCGGGACCCCCGACCCACCCCCGACCCCCGTTCCGATCTCGCCGTGGGACTGGGGCCGTCCCCGGGACCGCAACTTTAATGAGAGGAAAGGGTCGCATCGCTTCTCTTTGTGTTCTGACTCCATAAATCCATCTCACTCCCGCGCCGGTACCTGTGGGACAAGCCCTTCTGTCCCCCAGAACGGTCTCAAAGCCGCGAAATTCGGATTTGTTTCGCAAACCCCCCCTTTTTTATATAACATCACGTGGGAATCTTTTTTCTTTGTTGGGTTTTTTTGGCTGTGTTGAAGCTGCTGAGGAAGCACCAGCTCGAAGCTGAGCGGGGCAGTTCTGCSGCGGGCTCGGGTCTGGGTTTAGTTTCCCCCGCGTGTGTCTGAATTGAGCGGTTTGAGCCTGGTTTACACTCATGTGAACTCCCGAAGAATTGGGTCATTGCTCGCCCAGGCTGATTCAAGGCGTGTCTGAGTACYGGAGAACATTTCTGTGGGCTCTGGTGGGAGTTCCGTGTTTGGGAGCGTACACTTCTTACTGGTTTTAGTGGTCTCGGGAAAGCTGATGGGGCACGCTCGGTGAGAATCTTCCTCGGGTGTTTACAGAGCCTGGCTAGAGGGTTCCTGTTCCCACCTCCACCTTTGTGGGTTTGTTTTACACYTGAACATTTATGAGAGAAGAGATTTCAAAAGACAGGGTTTAATGGCTGATATCACCTCTCTGCTCCTCCCTCGTGTTTTGTTATAAAAGCAGGCGCGAYTCCTTCCCCGCAGTGACGGCAGGGCGGGCAGCGGCTCCGTGTTCCAGCGGGAGCGGGCTGCGGTGCCCAGGTCACCCCCGATCCCACGGGGATGGGCGGTAACAGCTTATTAAACCCTCTCTCTGCTGGATCTAAAGGTCCTGGAACTGTTTAAATCAAGTATTTATGGAATGCTGCTCCCTCCCGACGCGGTTATCGACTCTGATTGGCTTTGGGGAGGGTAAAAGTGCCAAATTTCGGTCTGTTACAGTAAGTGTTGGAGCAGGTGGGTGCTCGCTGGAGCTCCTGCACAGAGGGTTTGGGTGCCCTGCTCCTGTGCTGAGGGTGCCCAGTGCTGGCAGGACGGCGCATTTCAGTGGCATTTGGTCCCTGATTGACCATCAGGGACTGGGAGTGCTGAATTCCTGCTGTGCCACCTAATTTTCCTGAAATTGATTTCTGTAATTTCAAGGAGAGCAGATCATGTGTTTGTGTCGGGGTTGAGAGGGGGACACTGCTGCCCAGCATCTGTGCTGTCCAGGGAAGTTCTGGACTGGGAGGCACTCAGAGCAGACCCTGGTGTGCTCCTGTGTGATACTGAATGCCYGCTGTGGCCTCAGAGGTGACAGTGACCTCGCTGCCGTGCTCTCCTCCTGCACCAGGAGCTGTCCCTGAGCCCAGGAGTTTGTCCTGGTGGGACTCCCAGGAGCTCTGGGTGGTGGCATCGCTGGCACAAGTGGGATGGGAGCCCTGTGCTCGAAGGGAAGAAGCTGCTCCCGGGAGGAGGATGAGGCAGGTGCATCACCACATTGTGGGCATGCAAGGAGAGGGAAAAGGCATCCTCTCCATGGGGGAGCCTCCTGAGGAACTCAGCTGGAAGTGCTCAGAAAGRTCTGATTTGGAAAGATGAGTCTGGRCACTGCAGCTCCTGATCCTGTGTGCTAAGAGCCACCAGGTGCAACCTGTTGATTTCTTGTCCTTTGCTCCATTTTTGGTTAATCCCACCCCTGTTTTAAAGGTTATTTCTTCCCATCCTGGTTCCCAAGCACCCGAGTCTCCTGCCCACTGTTATTGCTGCTTTTCCTGAGTGCTGATTGCTCTCAGCCATCCTGTTGAGTGTTTTTTTATTCTCTCCAGCTTGCAGGGAAACTTCCAGGTGAAGTTGGAGAATGGGCTTGCTTTTCAATTTACTTTCTAAGCCTCAGAAATAGGCTTGGGGATTCCAAGGATCTGAGTCCAGGAGCTGAAAACCCCACAGTTAATTACTCAAACTCAGTGACCCTCGGAACTGCCTGYATTAATGTAATTGTTTGTGTCTGCTTATCCCAAAGACTTGCCCAATTTTTGCACAGATATCAGCTGATTCAATAAAATCCTCTGCCTCAGGGTGGGTGGGCGCTGCTCCCACTCTGTCCCCCTCCATGGTGTGGCACCACGAGCCGGGGATGTCACCACACGTGGTGCCCTGGGGCTTCCTGCCAGCCTTGTTTCAGGGTATAAGCATCACTAACTTTGATTTTTGTGAGATGTTTTTTTTTATTCAAGTTTTGTTGGTTTTGGCTTTTTTGCATCCAGCACGCAATAGCTGTGGGAAGGAGGTTATTTCTGGGTCRGTGCTGACATTAGGACACTGGATTAATTTTCCGTTAAATGACAGATTTATTGGAGTTTTCTTCATCTGCACACTCTGACCTGAAAACCTGAGTGAGGATTTGCCAGAAGGGGGCATTTTGCAAACATCACAAAGGATTTTGGTGGCGAGGAGATGGGCAGGGTGAGCTCGACTGGAGAATTAGGCAGTGATGCATATCTGGGAACTACGGGCTTTTGGGGAAAATTCTTGTTCAAATAAACACTAACAAATGAATTTTGGGTCATTTAGTGCTGAGGGCTGAGTGCAAGGAGACCATTCCCTGTCCCACTGCAGCTGCTGGCTCCAAGTAGTTATTAAAATAAGAAACTGTGGAATAGTACTGGATTTTTTTTTTCCTGAGGAAACAGTTTAAAAATGCATTTTCCAGTTAGCTCCTGGTAATTGTTTCTTGCTGTAGGTTGAGCTCTGAGAGCTCTGGTGTTCTTGAATGTGGTTTCTCCAATTTTCCTTTCTGGAAGGGGAGTCTGGAGCTCACAGCTCGGTGTCCCCTCTTTTGGAATGTGTTGCTGAGCTGCCYGTTGCTCATGCTGACCCAGTCCTGCCCAGTAAAGCCAGTCCTTCACTGGGGCACACCAGGGAGCTGTGTGGGGCTCTGGGGGTTGTTTTCCTGTGTGGGGTGTGTTGGATTTGGGGTCCCAGGCAGTGTGTGCTTTCCAGCCTCACCATCTCTGTACTCACCTTGTCTGTCCCCTTCCCAAACACAGAGGCTCTCCTCAGTCCTGGGACTGAGGCTTTTCTTTTTCTGTCCTTAAGCATTTACCTGCTGCAGGTGCAGGGGGTATTTTAACAGGCCCTGCCCTGGTGCTTGGCCACAGCCTTGGCTGGTGGGAGCTGCTGGGTGGGTGGGAACTTCATCCACTCTTCATCCCTGGGGAGAACAAGGCAGAGAAAAGTTAGGTGAGCTGGTGGAAGAAATGGGATGAAAACCTCTTGTTCCTGCTTCCTGGTTTCCATTGGACATTGCAGCTGCTGGGTTAGTTTTATGTGCTAAATCCAGCAGTAAGGGACTGAATCTAGCAAGTTGTGTTTGTTGCTGGAGGTCCTAGAGCACCCCAAATCGTTCAGGATCGCTGCCAAGCCAGGCTCAGGTGCCATTACCTGTTTCCTGAGTTTTTTCTTTCTGCAATAAATGCTGAGCTCTCTGCACATCCTCAGTGATCTTAGAAACCTTCCTGCCACCTGTCCCTAGTTCCCAGGCTCAACTTCTCTCCCAGTTTCGTCCCTTTCTCCCCCTCAGTGGTGCAGAGTGATGGAGAACAGTGGCCGTGGCCTGCTCATCACACCTTGGCTTTGCCCCTCCTTCCTCCTCAAGGGCTCCTTGCTGCACTGTGGGATCATCCACTATTCYTGTTTTGCTGAAGGAGCTTGTCCTTGGTTTTTCTCAGTGTTTGGGAACTCAGCAGGCTGTGTTCATCCCTCATTCCAGGCAGAAGCTCCACAGCTCACCCACCACTGGAGCATTGTGGAGGCAGGTGCTGCCTCTGGTGCCCGATGCCATCCGCTGCTCTGTCCTTGCTGTGCCTGTGCCATCTTTCCAGGAGTGATGAGAGATTTCCATGAGCCTCCTGCACTGCTCATGTTCACCCCAGCCTGGAGATCAGAGCCTCCCAAACCCCAGCCTACTCTGTGCTGCTTTCCCAAGCACTGCAGGGTACGAAACATCTGTGAGAGAAATGCCAGGTCCAGATGTTGCAGAAGGCCAGGGCGATAATGGATTATCGACAGCCATTCCCGGGCTGGACAGCTTCTGTTCGAGACGCTGCTGTGGTTCCTTCCCTGCTTCACAGCCTGGGCTCGGTTGTGGTGCTTTCCCTGTTGCCAGAGGAGCATCTCAGCGTGGCCCGGAGCCTGGAGGAGCTGCCCTGATGCTGTGTTGCCGTGGCAGAGCTTTCCCATAGTGTTTTCTCCCGGGAGCTGGCGTGCACCACCGCACAGGAAATTCTGGTTGCACCATTATTGCTGAGCCTATTGTTTGGGGCAAGGGCAGGATTCGGGCTTGCTCACATCCTCTGGTGGCTCGCTGTGCTAAGGGATGTGGTGGAGTAGCCAGGGCTGCCAGAGGAGCAGCAGAGCTCAGAGCTGCTTTGTGCCGAGTTCATGCTTAGCCCAGATCTTTGCGTTTCTGCCCAAACCCACCCCTCTGGTTTTGCATGGGAAACCTCGGGGTTAAGGAAAACTTGGAGTGAAGATTAGGCGGGGCACAGTCCTTTGGTGCAGTTTGCAGCGTTTTGCTGCTTGGCCCGCTGCTGTCTGTGGGTCTGYGTGTCGTGGACATGTTGTGTCGCCAGGTCACACATCGAGGGCTATAAAATCCGGGCTTGGGGGGATACAGAAGCCACGGAGCGCTGYCTTGGAGGTGCGGGCACACGTGGCTGTGCAGCAAACAGGGCGTGCGGGCTGGCAGAGCACGTGGCTGCTCTGTTTTCACCTGCCGCAGCCTCATGGTGTGACCAAGGCCGCCCGCTCACCTGGCCATGCCTCAGTTTCTTATCAGAGCGTTGGAGTGAGCTGCTGTGCCTGTGTTTGCTTTCACTTTGCCTTTTCCTCCACTAATCTTTGCGGCTGAGATGGTTGGCAGCGATAGCAGCCTTTC